TTTTTTTTTTAGTTGACTCAGGCCCACACTCCAGTATAGCAGGTGGCGGTAATGCACCTTATCGTTGGATGCCAACCGCCAATAAAACAGAAGAAGAAGAGCTAATAAAATACATTTATAGTACAGGGTTGAGCAAGAGGATTTAAAATCAAACAGGGATGCTGTATCCTGATCTGGACTTTAGGGAACCAGGGAAGTGTTCTGGAGGAGCTGGAGACACAGCTCCAGATTGGGACCCTGGAACCTGGGAATCTGGTATAGGGAAGAGTTTCAAATTTATGAAGAATTATTATTATTATTATACATATTTTTCATGTTCATAAGTCATTTCGAAGATAATAGCTAACATGACTGCACAACAGCAACGTACTGTAGGTGGTGCTATACATTTAGATTGTTATGCGCCAAAGAAAAACTAAAGAAGAAGAAGAAGATGGTACGGTTCGTTTAGCAACCGTTGGACACACATCGACGATTAAGCGGTCCTCCTGGCATGCGTCCTGCTCTGTGGTCGGCTGTAAAGCCTCACAGGTGTCCCCTACACCGAATCCCAGCCTCAGAGGAAACTAAAGCGAAATGGCTTGACTTTATATTTAGAGGAAATGTCCCAGAAATAGTGGCCAAAAACCTGCTTGTGTGTGCCAAACACTTTCCGCCGGACTGTTTTACAAACCTGGGCCAGTACGAAGCTGGACTCGCGTCCAAGTTGTATTTAATAGATGGAGCTGTGCCATCAGTCCGTCACACAGCCGTAAGTGTTTTATTCTGCGTGTGTGTGTTTCTATAATGCTAGCAAACACCAACATCGGAGTATAGCAGGAGTGTCTAACGTTAATTTTCAGACATGAGGTAATACTATTAGATTACAAAAGGATGTGTGCTAACGTTAATTTTCATAGGAGATTGTAGTACGGTTGGCTAACGTTATTCGTATGTTAGCTTAGGTCTGAAAGATGAATTTGTTATCAACAGCAGTGTTGGGGAATGTTACTTTTTAAAGTAATGCATTATAATATTGCGGTACTCCATAAAGAAAGTTACTAATTACGTTACTTTTTTATGGAAAGTAATGCGTTACGTTACTTTCGCGTTACATTTTAAATCTGGACAGGGCTTGCTTGTTTGTTTTTAAAATAAAAAAGTTCTATTTCTGGCAAATATAAAAGCCTTTTAACACCAAAGAAATTAGGAAACAAAATACTATGGAAATTAGCATTAAAGACATGTTTAATGGTGATAAGGCTAATGAAAGTTTATTAGATTACTTGAGAAGAATTTAAGAACACTGATCAACAGTAAATTGACGTAAGAGCACAACAATAGCATGCAAAGCCCGTGACAAAGGTGCTCTATGTTCATCTGCTGTTTGGCAAATGGGCACTTGCAGTGTCTGTGTGTATGTCAGACAGTATGTTAGTTGTCACTAATGTGGAGTGTTTTCTCGGTTTACAGTGGTGCATCGTCTTTACGTAAGAACCTCCGTTTGCATATTGAAGTGTATATAGTGTCCTAACTGTAGCGACTTGGGATTTCTGTGAAATAGTTATTTTGTCCATGAGACAATACTGTGTGAAAAGACTTTGTGTTGGGAAGAGTGAGGGGTCGTTAACAGCCCGCAACTGCATGCAGTGTTGGGGGTAACGCGAGTTACGTGATCAGATTACTTTTCCAAGTAACTAGTAAAGTAACGCATTACTTTTTTAAATTTACAATGCAATATCTGAGTTACTTTTTCAAATAAGTAACGCGAGTTACTTTGTTTTCCCATGTATTGACCATAGACTGTAAAGGTATTGACTGTCAGCTCTCCTGTCCTCATGTTGAGAGAAATCAGGAGTAAGTGCAGAGGTGTTGTGTGCGCTGAGCACTGATGCCAACTCTCGCAAGACAAATAAGCAACCGCTGCTTCAAAAACAAGCCCAATTTTTTTTGATGATTTATTATCATCAATATTATTTATTACCAATAAATGAGCCTGCAACATATTAAACTGAAACCACTATTTTATCTGAAAAGCAAAAACAGATTTTTTTTTTTTTTAAATCAGCAAACTGCAACAAAAATGGGAACAAAACTCATCTCCAATCACCTGTGAGCAGAATAGGATTGGACAGATGGAAAAGGAGAAAAACGCAAGAGCTTCAAAGGGGAGCTGTAACACAGCCACATATTTATAGCTTACTAAAATATAGGCTATTCCATATTTACTCTTAGTATTAGTATAGGACTACTTGTTTTTTATTTTGCAGCCCGTGGTAATTAATACATTACAAAATCATTGTAAAAATAAAAAAAATTAGGATACCTATAAAGGAAAAAAAGTCATCCCACTCCTCTACGTTAACAAGCAACCAAATTTTTTAAAATAAGCCCAAAAAACCGCAACCCGCGACCTGGGACCAAAGTCGCATATAATACGCGGACTTGGCAACTATGGCGCTGAGTAAACATGATGTTACTGTAGTTCTGGGCTAAATGTGAACATCAGGGTTGCCAGGCTTTCACAAAAAAACCCGCCCAATCGCTCCTCAAAAACTAGCCTAAAACTTTGGGGCTAGTTTGGAGTAGAAATACGGAATGCGTTAAAAATCATATTTCGGGGGGGGGGGGGTAAAATA